CACCCCCACCCCCGCGCTTAGCAGCCGAGAATCAAACCACTTTGGGGACCGGACAGACTGCGAAGCTTTACTTGTACAATCCGCCATCTTTGTTCGGGGCACCGTGACTTCCGGTCGGGGAGGAAGAGACCCTAACCTGGTTTCCGGGAGATGCTGGAATAGAGTTAGTTAGAGGAGAGGTTTGCGTTGGATTCTTCCAATCAGCATCCCATCTCGCCCTCTGGCGGCTTCGGGTGGCAGCCAGATTTAGTGGGACTCCGGTCATTCTCCAAGACGGGCACTGACCGTTTTCACCAAGGGATTGGGTGGGTTCCAGATGGGGGAGGAGGGGACGGAGGGCACGGTACATCTGCTGTGCCTCGCGGCCTCCAGCGGAGTCCCCCTGTTCTGCAGAAGCAGCCGCGGCGGTGCTCCCGCCCGCCAGCAGGTGGGGCTCTGGACGTCTGGATCTCCGAAATTGAAGGGGGTTAGGAGCTTGGACTTGGGTCTTCAAGGGAGCAGGGGCTGGGGAGTTGAGTTTAGAGGTCTGAGGGGTGCAACAAACTAAAAACTCAGTTTCCCTGACCAGGAGGTGCCAGGGGACCTAGAAAGGGGAGGGGATTGGGGGCCCCTGTCTAATGTCCTCAACCTTTCCACAGCTCCCGTTCTCTGTCATCGGCTCCCTCAATGGAGTCCACATGTTTGGGCAGAATCTCGAGGTGCAGCTGAGCTCTGCGAGGACCGAGGACACCACCGTGGTGTGGAAAAGCTTCCATGACAGGTCTCCAAGTGATAGCTTGCAGCAGGGACTGGGCCCTGTTGAAGATGACCTCAAGGCCTGCCAGCCCCCCAAGGCCAGCTGTTACCCTCTCTGATCTCTGAGTTTCTCTGTATGAGAAGCGGGTTATGCTGGAGGAGGATGTAGCTAGCAGCCAGCATCTAGGGCAAACTACTATCCTCGCTGCCCTGTTCCCTGGCCCGGACTCATTCTTCCTTCTCACCTTCCTTTCTCACAGCATCACCCTCATTGTTCTGTCATCTGAGGAGGGCACCTCGGAGCTGAGACTAGAGAGACTGCTCCAGATGGTGTTTGGGGCCATGGTGAGACTCCCCAGGCCTCTTTTGCAAACCAAGGAATCTGAACTCTCAGCATCCTTCTCCCTCAGACCCAGCAGTCCAGCCCCCAACACCTTTCTCCTCCAAAACCTAGGAATCCTGGCTCCTAGTCCCTCCTCCCTCAGACTTATGAGTCCAGATCCCCAGCCCCTGCTTTCTTCTAAGACGTCCAGGGCCCCTATTCTCTTATATGGTTCTTCTAGGTTCTTCTTGTGGGACTTGAAGAACTGACCAACATCAGCAATGTAGAAAGACTGAAGAAGGAGTTGAGGGTGAGGCTACTGATATTTGGTGACTACAGTGCCCAGCAGCCCCTGGGGCAGCCTGCCCCGTGGATTCTTGGGGCAGCTCAGTTTTCTGACCCTGGAGTAGGCCTACCCAGAAGGGCCACTTTTTTGAGGGGGGGGGCAGCAGATCTAGGTGCCTCCCTTCTCCCTCTGCTAGGCCTGTTACCGCCTCATTGACAGCTTCCTGGGGGACTCAGAGCTCATTGGAGACCTGACCCAGTGTGTGGACTGTGTGGTTCCTCCGGAGGGATCCCTCTTTCAGGTATTGGGGAAGCCTTGGGAACCCTTAAACCTGTCTTTATGCCCCGTCTCAGTCCTCATCCTCTTACCCCTGGACCATTGCCTCCACCTCTTCCCATCCTCAGGACTTCCAGTCCAACCCCCACTTGGCCCCAGAAAGATCTTTTTACACCCAGAGCTGACCCAGCCCCTCCCCTTAGCACAGCCCTCTCACGGCTTCCATCCCCCCCTCCGCCCCCCAGGACAAAGTCCCAGCCCTTGCCCAGTTGCCTCAGGAGTCCCACAAATCTCAACAATTTCCCAGCTTCCCTGCCTTAGCATATGCTGTTCCTTCTGTGCGGGGAATCTCTATTTACCCTCTTAAAAATATTGTTCTTGTGGATTCACCAGGTATGGCCACCTCCAGGAGCCTTAAGGTGGTTGATTGTACCTACTTGGCACACAGTAGGACTCAATAAACCGTAGCTGCTGCTGTGATTGTTAGCTTCAGTAGCTCATGCTGGCAGGGCAGTAGATGCCTTACCTGTTTAACTTCACGATGTGGCTTGGGGATTGTAACTGCATGTGGCGGTGAAGGAGCCCAGGCCCAGGGAGGGTGAGACACTTGAGCATGGCCACAAGGCAAACTTGGAATTGTATGCGGGTCTGTGCCCATGTAGGAAGTCACTGTGCCCCTAGTCTGTTCCCACTCCTCGCCCATGTAGGAAGTCACTGTGCCCCTAGTCTGTTCCCACTCCTCGCCCATGTAGGAAGTCACTGTGCCCCTAGTCTGTTCCCACTCCTCGCCCATGTAGGAAGTCACTGTGCCCCTAGTCTGTTCCCACTCCTCGCCCATGTAGGAAGTCACTGTGCCCCTAGTCTGTTCCCACTCCTCGCCCATGTAGGAAGTCACCGTGCCCCTAGTCTGTTCCCACTCCTCGCCCATGTAGGAAATCACTGTGCCCCTATTCCTGTCTCCTTGCCCAGGAATCCCTCTCTGGGTTCGCGGAGGCTGCGGGCACAGCCTTCGCCAGCCTCCTCGTGTCGGGCCGGGTGGTGACAGCGACAGAAAGCTGGTGGCGGCTGGGGACGCCGGAGGCCGTGCTACTCCCCTGGCTGGTGGGATCCCTGCCGCCGCAGGCCGCACGGGACTACCCGGTGTACCTGCCGCACGGGAGTCCCACGGTGAGTGGGTGGGCCCGCAGAGGGAAGGTGGGGCCTGGGACACCTGCGCCCGAAGGGGTGAGACCTAGAGGCGGAGTCGCGAGGAGGCAGGGCTTGCACGGAGCTCTGGCCCGCTCACCCCGCGCCCCCGCTTCAGGTCCCGCACCGCCTTCTGACCCTGACGCTGCTGCCGGGCTTGGAGCTGTGTCTGCTCTGCGGGCCGCGGCCTCCCCTCAGCCAGCTGGATCCACAGGTGAATTCGGGCCACGTCCGGCTCGGCTTTCCCCCTATTACACCCTCCACCCGCGTTTCCCGCCCCCCCTCCCACCCGCGTTTCCCGCCCCCCCTCCCACCCGCGTTTCCCCGCCG